GTTCTGTGCACTAGACACCTGACTAACTCTGTAAATTCTGCCTCTTTCATGCTTTAAAAGGAAAAGGTAAGTATTTTCTCTAAATCACAGGAAGTTACTTTTAATATCAATTTGCATGATACATATCAAGGAGCTGCTGATTTGCCCCTTTATTTTGGGGTATTTGATTTGTGAGGTAATGTCTTGCTGGCAGAAAGGGCTACAGGGGTGTTTCTGAGAGAAGTTGCTTGTCCACATGTCCAACAGAGCCAAACCCTGGGGGCTCCAAGATGGATCCACCCCTGGACAAGTCAATCAGTGATGGTGCTAAAGGCAATGACAATGTATTTAACAAGGGGGAAATGCACAGAAGCAAATACATCCAGAGAGGAATGACAATATCCAAGCAAAAAATCCCCAGATGCTAAGGTCAGTGCACAAGGAGGGGCAGGAAGTGGCCCAGGTGCTGGAGCTGAAGTTCCCCTGCAGCCTGTGGTGCAGACCACGGTAAGGCAGCTGTGCCCCAGCAGCCCATGGGGGTGCAGAGATCCACCTGCAGCCCCCATGCTGGAGCATGTGGAAACATCTGAAGGAGGCTGTGACTGCAGGGGAAGCCTGCACTGGAGCAGACTACCAGCAGGACCTGTGGAGAGAGAAGCCCACACTGGAGCAGTCCTGCTGGCAGGACTTGAGACCCCACAGGGGACACACATTGGAGCAGCCTGTTCCTGCTGCACCCTGTAGGAGCCACACCAGAACACTTCATGAGGAACTGCTGCCTGTGGGAAGGACTCCTGTTGCAGAAATACATGAGGACTGTCTCCTGTGGGAAGAACCCCGTGCTGGAGCAGGGGAAGTGTGTGAGTCCTACCCTTAAGGAAGGAGAAGACAAGTATGGGATGAAGTGACCATAGTCCCCATTCCCCATCCTCCTGCACCACTTGCAGAGAGAGGTAGAGAAATTCAGGAGTGAACTTAAGCCTGGGAAGAAGGGAATGCTGTGGGAAAGGTGGTTAAAGATTTGGTTTTCTCTTTAATCTACTCTTAACTGATTGATAGTAAACTAATTTCCCCAAGTCGAGCCAGTTTTGCCCATGACTGTAACTGCTGAGTGATCTCTTCCCTGCTCTTACCTCCACATATGAACCTTTTGTTGTATTTTCTCTCCCCGTCCAGCTGAAGAGTGATGGAGCAATATTGGCATGCACCTGGCATCCCACTGAGGTCAGCCCATCACATTCAGGAAGAAAAAACTCACAGAAACTTCCCCCTGGGAATTTTCATCCAAGTGGTTGGTGTCTCCTTCCTTGTTCATTTCTCAAGTAAGCCCCAGCTGATTTAAGTCCAGCTCTGAGGTGCTTCCTCATTCTGACTACATAGGGAATTACAGGCATCAGCAACTTTGGGGCGCTGCAGTGCTCAGTATCCAGGTTTCTCTTCAGATGTAGCCTAGTTCTCTGTGAAAAAAGCCTCAAGAGACATTTTGGAGTGTAGTAGTCAAATTTATTTCCACTGTAGAAGCACATTTGTTTCAGTAATAAAAAAATAATCTTTGCAGAATAAAAGTAAACCTGTAGTGGTATAAATATTATTTACTTGCACAAGAATTCACCTAAGTCACCCAACATATGTTTAGACTTAGTATTCCCACAGTCCTACATTTCCAATGGAGTTTACAAGATAGTTACTAGCAGAAAGATGAGAAAGGTGGAAGTCTGGCTCAGCTGGGATTTAAACATATATGAAATAATAGAAAGCTTCCTTGGTTGGTTTTTTTGGTTGTTGTTATAACACTACACTGCCTATGAAAAATACTAACAGCCTTCAGCACTGACCATTTCTGTTTGTCTAATTAAAATATGTAACTTAGAGAGCCACAGAAGCCTCTTCTGGCTGCCTTGCAGACATGACCTTGGTGCTGGCCAAGCAGAACCAGCAATGAGTGTATATAAGTGCTCAAGCTCAGAGGTTCTTAGGCTGTGCTCAGTCTCCATTTCTGACTCCCATTACCAGCTGCTGCCTTCCAAGAAGAAGGTCTAGTAATTTCCTTCAGGGGGTCATCACAGACTCATTAGTCAGCATGCCTTATCAATCAGTAAATCCTTGTGCTATGCTAACATAGGTGCTCTACTCCATACAGCATTATTAATGATCTGGTGAAACCAACAGGCCAGCTTATAGTAAGTATGGCTGATGTGTAACTTGACCTAACACGAATACTTCATCCACAAAAAAAAAAAAAAAAGCCAAAAAAACTAATGTTTTTTTCTGCACTCCCATTCAGTTCAAGCCATGGAACAACAGTAAACTGCAACAAACTTAACTTGCACTTTTAACTTCTGGATAACTCTTCAACTGTTTTTCCCAATTGTGGGGGTGGAGAAAAAAAAAGACGGGAATAAAATGTAATGAATCGCTCTCATATTGACTGTATTCCTGTGTTCTGCTGAAGTTATACTTCTTTATCATATAGGCTATTGTCAGCACCACGTCCTCACAGCAAACGCTGATTTATTCTGATCCTTCCTTACTACAAGTACAGTGACAAAAAGTACAAGGTTCAGCCTTGACTCTTCTCAAGGCCACTATGAGAGGAGGACACCGAACTAATACAGCACAATACTGAAGACAAGAGAACGTTAACAGTTAAGTTCTGATACACTGAAAAGCAATTTTACACATAAGCTCATTTATGTAGGCACACCAACATACTGAGCACCATTTTTTTTTTTTCCAGTTTAACATCAACATTCAACTCTGAACAGAAGAATGTTAAGTCTCTAGGACAGTTTCAGTATCAAGGAAAGAACTACTTCTAATTTAGAAACATCAAAACACTAAAGTTGACACCTCAGCTGAGACGTTCACTGCAAGTGACCCTCTCTCTGAATTCGAAGGCGCTCCTTCTCCACTTGCAAGCGTTCCTTCTCAATCTGCAGCTTCTCTGACTCAAACTTTAGGAACTGCAGCCTCTCTTTCTCTAACTGCAAACGTTCCTTTTCAAGTTTTAACTTTTCAGTTTCTAGATCCAGAGGCTGCATGATGGGTTTTTCAGTTTGGGTGAGGTCATTTTCCAGAGCAGGCTTTTCAGCATGCAGAGTCTCTAGCCTGAGCTTCTCCCACTCAATCTGAAGTCGCTCCTTCTCAATCTGAAGCCTCTCACGCTCCAAGTCAACGTGCCGCAACCGCTCCTTCTCAATCTGCAGGCGCTCCTTCTCCACTTGCAACCTTTCGGCTTCGATGTCCAGTCGCTGTTTCTCCAGCTCCACCTTTTGCTTCTCCAGATTTATAAGCAAGTGAGAATCTTCATAGGCTAGCCTAGCTTGAGCAGAGCTCAGATTTCCAAACTCTTCAATGTGGGGGAAGTCTGGTAGGTCATTTTCCTTTTTCGAATCTGGCAGAACTGACGACAATATTTCTTCTTCTTCCTCAATAGGAAACTGCAGAGAGGAACGCGACAGACAAGAATTACATTCCAGTCTTTATGCCAGAATAAATTTGTGACACACAACTTGACTGAAAAGAACATACTGCATTTTTTCATCTTTAAAGCTATTCAGAAGTGTTTAACTTGTATGTTGTAAAATAACCATGCTACATCAGAAGATTTTTTTATCATTACACAGGAAGAGAAAGAGGCTTTATCTGCAAGCTAATATCTGGTAAGAAAAAATGGAAAATCTTGTCAGTGAACATACAAGAGCATCCAGAAAATACAGCACAGTAGTTATTATAGATCATTCAGAACAGCTGATAGAAAACTGCATCTAGAAGACCATATGTTGTTCTTACCTTTCATAGAGCTGAGTGACATTTATGTAACCCACCAGGCATTTGTTGTGACTAATTATTTATCAGAGCAGATGGATCCATAGGCTATGTGTTATGTAAGCTAGCCTAACCTTCAATAACTTGGGCTATTCCATTCCTAAAAAATATTTAACACTGACATTTTCCACATGCTCCTAACGCTTCCAACTCTATTAAGTGGGTCAATAAGCAAGACTTGTTTAACCATTTTGTATTATCACATTTGCTGTAAAGCTATTTGTGACACAGATGATGAGGTGGTTAGGACCACTGCTCTTGGCAGGCTGTAACATTTTGTGTCACAGCCCTTAGGTGCTACAAATTCATAGTGCAAAAGAGACAATTTGTCTCCCAATATGTAGGCTGCAGGAGAAAGGCAAACTGAGGAAGGTAAGGTTCAGAAAAACCTTAGGACTAGGAGAGCCATTACCAGTCCTCTAGCATTAGAGAAGACACACACTGTTCTTCAGCACTGTCTGACAGTAGTTCTCACTAACATCTAACAGCTTACAGTGATTTTCTCCCAGCATATATATCAAAGGAGTTCAGGCAGGAGTCTCTTCCCCACTTCTCCCACTCAAAAAAACCCAAACCAAACCCAAAAAAACAAAACAAAAAAACAAAAAACAAAAACAAACAAAAACAAAAAATGTCCCCTCCAAAAAACCCAAAGCAATAAAATACCCCAAACAAAACTGAGTACCCCTTTTGGAAATGAGAACTATGTACTTCAAGAAGAACAGTAAAACTATCCCAGCATTTGATTGCACTCCAGCTGGTTGCCTACCCCAGGATAGTCACAGTACTACTAGGAGTATCAACTTGTCTACAGAATTTGGTACTGCTTGTCCAAGTCACACCAAAATTCTGACAGAGAGGAAAGGTTAACTGACCAATTCAAGTAATGTTTTCATCTCCTGTAGGTTCACTTCAAGAAATGCAAAAAGTATGATATTTCTTTCTGTATTCTACTTCTTTCTGTACCTGCAGGTAACATATACTTTCACCTGTTAAAGATGAGCACTTCTCTGTTCATCCATCAAGGCAGTCTGAATACTAAAATGACCAGTTTCCTTCAATAGGGTATTTTCCTTGCATTGACTCAACTAATTCTTATCTGTAGCACATACAAATGGCAAATACATGTGCAAAGACATACTCAAAGTTTAGGGATATCAAATCAGTAATCAGCATCCAAGACCTTAAACACAATTGCAAGTTGCTTGATTTGAATACCATGTCTCTGAATTATATTTATTTCTACAGTTTAATTCACACGTTCAGAAAAAAACCAGAAACAGATGCTATGAAGAAACACAGTATTATGTGTTTATGCTGACAGTGTATTATGCTGAAATGAAGCAAAGGCCATATTGCATATAGCTCATGTATGTCAGTAACTCACTTCGAAATTCTGCGGATCCTCCTCTTCCTCTTCTACTTTGATTTCTGTTAAAGATCCACCAGCTTCTCTGAAGTCAGTCATATTTTGCCATTCAAAACTAGATTCAATTGCAAAGCCCATTTTCTCGTCCATGTCTTCATTGAGAGAGTCATCTAAATTGGATGAAGGAAGGTGAAACCCAGCACCCACTACTTTGATGTTTGCATTCAGACGTTTTCTCTTCATGAGTGCTCTCCAGTCAAGGTATCGCCTTTTCACTTCTGTCCCTGTTCTCTGCTCTCCTTCACCTACAGCATTGACACACTCAGCTATTTCCTCCCAAGCTTTCCGTTTCATCTCATTAATTGTTGTATTAAGTTGCTTTGAAAAGAGTACTTCTCTCCTTTTTCTGATTTCCTTAAGGAGAGTTTGAGTTTCCTGAACACTAAAATTACTTTTTCTTTTTCTTTTTAACTGTTTCATTTTTTCCAGGCTTAACCTAGTAATTTCACCACAGCAGACTACAGAGATGATCTGACACTAATCAGCTACTAATATAAATAAATTTAAAAGCAAATGAAAGCAGAGCTCAGTTCTCATGAAGTAAATTTTCTCTTCACTTTGTAGTATTTTTCTATTTGTCAGGCTTCCTAAGAGAAAAAGAGCAAACAAGATAAATCTCCAAGGTATACACCATATATTTTCATTTAACAACTTGACTCCTAAGTCATCATTTAAGGAAAGCATATTTTGAACTAACTTGTTATTTGATAAAGGAAAACCATTCTGTTAAACTCTCAATACAAAGCAGTCATAGATACTTCCTCTGGTCTCCTATGAATTATAAAACCATTAATATATTCATATCACGACTGTTAAGGTTGATTTGGTATTTTCATTACAAAAGTACAGCTATTTTCCTTCAGTTCCTAAGAGTTTTGCCGGTCGGGATTTCCTTGAGACTGAAATTTGACACGTACATTTCAGTTTGAATGCTCAATTAAATCCCAAAGAACCTGAAATTGTTGTCTCATTACTTCAAAAATATGAAATGTTTAGGGGACTGAAATTTTGAGAGACATTTTAAATGAGACACCGTTTTCATTTTAAAAAAAAGTAAATTAATATGGTAAGTTGGTATTTTCGAGGATCTTCTAACTTAGCATAATCATAAATAAAAGAAATGGAGCAATCCCATTGTATGCCATAAAATAACTACTAGTTCAAACAAATGTGATTCATTAGAGACATTTTAACAGGAAATAGATTTAAGTTACTACATGCCCAAGGTAAAAACCCTTCTGTGTCCTTCTAATGCAGCTAAACATCTCATCAGATACCATGGCAACTTTAAAGTTCATCCAGTGCTCTGCCCTCAGCACCATTTAGTCCTGTGCCTAAAGAGAACACGAACCCCTATAATTCACCTAGTGTGTGCAACTCTGCAGAGAAGTGGAGAGTGAGTGGGAGAAACAGTGGACTATTAATACAGTAATGAATATTATTACTGCATTAATTACAGATCATATTACCAAATAAACCCCAAAACAACCTACAGAAACTTGGAAGCAAAGACTAAGAATCAAAAATTATTCTTGGTCACAGAGTGCTTGGCAATAGGTTCAATTTAGGATTATTTTAAGAAGTCTTTTGTACCATGCTATCTACCACTGCAGGTAGGTTTAAAAGGCTTTAAGTCAAGAGAGCCAGGGATTCACTATACACTACAGGCAGTTTCAAGCTGCTGTTTGTTCCCTGTTCATGAAGTAGAGGCATTTGTCTACCTGAAGGCAAATGGCTTCCAGATAATAGATTCAATTGTTACTAACTAATAGACTTAATTCTTAAATAACTCCCTCTAGGGAGTTAATCCCAGGATTCTTAAATTACTAAGTATTTTTCCTCCTATTGTCCTCCCTAAACTTGGTTAAAGCATACACATCAGCAGACTGCACTACAACTCCCCACTTGGGGAATAATGTCTAGTAGCTTAGACATTGTCCTTCATCTCCTATACACTATTGACTGTAAATAAATGGCTCACTTGCAGTTTTGTCAAGCAACATTCTTGCATAGCCAACAGGTAAGCATGCTGCCATCAAGTATTTTTTCAAACACTGCATTTAAAAAACTGCTTTACTACTTTTCCTCACTAAAATACTACTCTGACTGTGAAGACACTTACTTCCAGTCATTCCTAGATAGAAAATCTGTAAAACCAAGTCCCAGGAAGAAACTGACTGCATAAAGCAGAGGCTTGTATCAGCACACACCACTCTACAGCGCTCCCATGTAGCTACCCAGCACTTTGGATTCCTCAGGCTCAAGTAGGAAGCTGCATGCTGCTGTTTAGGACACGTGAAACTTTCTGTCCTTCTGAAAATAAAATCCCAATTGTTTTTGAGAAATATTTATCCAGAAGACAAACTCTATCTGCTAGAATTACACCAATTTTTTCTGAGACCTTTTATCTGATCTTTAAGCATACTCTTTAGCAGACTTGTGCTGAATGACAGCCTTTTTCATCTCAAGGTATATACTGGTTAAGTCCTTTACTTAGCCTCAGCTAGGTTCTTTTGGTCATTTCAAGATGGAACCTTCCAACAAGGAACCACAGGAATTTACAGACTCACCTGTATCTCTAGTTACCCTGGCTTCTTTTAAATTTCTCAGGGCTAGCACAGCATGCTAACGTGGGCATAAACACAGAAAAACAAACAACAATAAACTGGGTTTCCAAATCAAATTTTCACCATCTTCCAAACACAGTTCTGCATCAACATGGAAAATGCTGACAGGTAAGCTTTCTCCTTAGCTCCAGAGAGAGCTGAGAGTTAAAACATGCAAATGTCAGGCCACTGCTCCTTGCACCAGTGCTCTGCATCATCCGACTGATCTCCCCAGCCACGCTTTGTTAAGTGTCTAGTCTCTGTTTTGGACTTTATGGCATAAGCCAAGGAAATAACCTTTAAGAACTACAATACTAACTTGGAAACTATTGGCAACCAATTCTTTTATTAAGTAGTTTTCTTTTAGATTCTTCTAAACTTTTGCTAGAACACATCTGATACAAGCCTCTGAATTTCCCACTGAAACATCACCAAAACCTATATATTTTAAAACTCATGACTACCAACTTCTGACTGGTAAGGGCATCCTGTCTCTTTAACACTTTCCTTTTTGAAAGCACACTGCCTTGCTAAGGATAATTCCTTTCTAATTAACATGAACTGAGTTAGTGAACTGTCTTAACAGAATATTTACTGCCAGAGATAGCTCTGTGTACCTTTCTGATATATTAACTAAAAAACATTATCTAACAAAAGCTGAGATTTGAGATATTCGGATCTTAGCCATTGCCAGATGGTCTCCAGAATATTATGCTTTAATGAGGAAAAATGAGCTGTTATATGCTCAAAGTACCTAAGAGACAGGAATGTAAATAAACTAGGATTTGTATACCTTCTCAACAGCTACAGCAAAAAAACATCTAACATTCCAAACCTCAGCTTCTGGGATAGCATTAATGCTCATCCTAGTAGCTGGGACAACATTGAGTTTTGGATTAGTGTGACTATAATGTTGGCAATGCACCAATGTGTTGGTTGTGGTTAAAGAGTGCTTACTTTAAACCAAGGACTTTTCAGTTTCCCGTGCTCCACCAGTGAGGAGGTGCACAAGAGGCTGGGGCGTACTGCAATGCAAAATGTGTAATGTGTACTTTTACAGTTTGGGTAGAAATGTGAAGTGCTGGCTAAAAAAAACACAATTCTGATGACATCAGAAAGACATCAAGGGTCTTCCAGAAAAGATGGGCAATATGGAGCTTTGACTTTGGGCCTGTCAGGCCAAAAGCAGCCTGTGATCAAGAAGGCTCTCGTTACTGCACCAAAGAAACACAAACTGTTGGGGTTGAAAAGAAACAAGTACTGTAAAACTAAGCTGGAAACTCCATAAACAGATAGAATATGCATACACTGAATACCTTCTGCATAAAGACAGAAGCATCTACATTCTGCCTCTATCTTTTCTGTCTCCTTTGTTGACACTTTATTGTCTGACTACATGTTGGACCAACAGAAAAAAATTTAGCAAATGCCCCAAACAAGCAATGAAGCAAACAAAAAGGTCCATGCATTCACCAGGAATGGAAGACTGCTGCTAGCATTAAACTTGAATTTTACGAAAATCATTACTTTTTACAAAAGATGATGATTTTATTTATTTATTTATTTATTTTTTACTTTCAGGGCTTATGCTTGAATAAAAAACCATTCAAATTACGAGAACGTGATATCTCCAGGTTTTTTAAACAATAAATTAAGAGTCTTGAGTACCTTCTGCCTAAGGCTTTCTAGAAAACTTTTCCGTGTTTCCTAACAGATGGCTACATTGGCTTGGAGCAACTTACGCTTTTGTACAAAGGTTTTTAGTACAGAAGAATCTAAGTGCTGCACAACACATCACCCAACACAGCCCTGCAAGAAGCCCGAGGTTTACACGAACGAAAAAGCAGGCACAGAAAGGACCCAACAACACCTAAAAGGATAATTCACCGAAGCAGGGAGAAAGCACGGAAGATGGGAAGCGGCAGGGCATTCAGGCTATGAAAGGTACAGACTTATCAGGCCGAAGCTCCCCTTGCCCTGGACGAGCCAGGGCCAGGCAGGGCAGCAGAAAGCCGCGTCCCTCCCTGCGCGCTGGGTTAAACCTGAGGGGGCACAGCCGCGGGCCCGGGGCCAGCGCGGCCCCACCCGCAGCGCTGCAGGGAAAGCGAGGCGGCAACAAAGGGAGGCGGGGGCACGGCCGGCTGCCCCGGCCAGCACA